TCTCCTTTCCCTTAAAGGAGAATTACAGCTAAGGGAAAGCAAACTTGGACCTTTCATTTATTAAAGGAGGACTTCTCGAAGAAAGGACACTTTTATTTGAACCTTGTTTTATTTAATTAGTTAGATTCTGTGGTACTCTGAGAGAGCCTACTTTGTATGCTATATATATTTTATTTTTTTTTCCATCTATTTGCATTGCCACATGTTGTTGCTGAGGCAATAAAGGTTGTCACTGTTCATCTTCACGTCTACTCTCTCCTTGTGAGTCAATAAGATAATTCCAGGTCACCATTCCCGAACCTAGGTGAATGTTAGCGTCCTTAAGCGTAGTTCTCATCAGTTAGGTAAGGCTAGGGGGCGCTACACTTATCTTTTATATATAAATATATATATCTTTTTCCATGTACCGGCATTCAGAAGCCCATCCTCATATTTTGTTTGCACTATTCTCCTTTTATGTGTACTTTTATACTTGTTGCACGATTTCTCATACTTATATGTACATTTTTTCTGTTGAGTATGTGTGTATCTCTATGTGTAAAGCTGCTGACAACAATGTGAATTTCTCCACTGCGAGATAAATAAAGGCATATCTTATCTTATCTTATCTTATCTTAGACGAAGAGTAAATGTGGGAATAACCCTTTATTGACTTTGAGGTTCAGCCATCATTTCAGGTCATATTGGATCCACTGTAGAGTTTTTACTAACTTTCTGTCATATCACTTTGAATATCAAAGTACATTTTTTGGACTCATGGACTGAGATGCTGACACGGTTCGAATCCAGCTGTGGAACTTTGTTATATCTCACTTTCTACCTCGCCTAAAAAAGTTCTCTCTAAATCTAAACTCTGATAAGTTGGGTTAAGCCTCTCCCACAGTGGAAGAACATCCTCCACTACAGAATGCGCTCCTGGTGATTGTTGAGAACCTTCTCTTGAATGCTGGCTAACTCACGTTCAACAACATGAACCTCTTTGTTAGTGCAGAATCAGTTCAGTTCTATTCATATTTAAATTAGAATCCAAACTTGGTAAGTAAAAAAAAACATTTCAATATTTTGTCATTCATTTTTGAATCCAGCACAAAACTAAACAACAGCTTGTTTTCTTCTGCCTTTATGCTCAATTAAAATGAAAATGAAATGAAATGGGGTGAATTTGATTTGGATATTTCATCCGTCCAATTTGTGTGACAATAAACAGTACCAGAAATGGAAGTGCGTATCAGGATCTCGTAATTATAACGAACAAATTGGAAACAAATAGGCTAAATTTGTAGTTTGTAATGTGTGTACACAGCGTAGCTCACTGTATGCATATGCAGGAACAGCAACTGGAGCGCTTCAGAACTTGCCTGAACTGCTGTTTCATTTTCTGATTTTGGATTCTGATATGGCAGTGAAAAGAATAAATGAAACATTTTACAGGTTAGCCTTCCAACGGTCACTGCCGTAGAGAGCCTTTAAGTTGTTGCTAAGTTTTATTAAGTAGCACTGAATTATGTGCAGGTCACATTTTGAACTCTTGCTGTTGAACTCTCACTTTTCACGGCAGTTCTACTGAGTGAGGTGGACCGAACATACAGAAAAAGGACCTGTAATCGGCTCTTTTAGGTTTCTGTCAATGCGGTGCAAGAATTGACAACAGCAACAACAACAAAAAGCAGTTAATCATCATAAAAGTCACCATATTGGTGAAGATAACGATCATTGAGAGGAAAAGACTGCTACTGCTCAGTGACATCAACAATGCAGAAATAATGGTGCTCGTTGCCCTATTTGAGTTCAACCAATTAGCGTTGTCTTCTCTGAGTTTAACCAATCAGCATTGAGAACTAGCTACCCTGGAGGAGGTATGTTTTTCTCCCCCCAAAAAAAGGCCAAAAAGAGGTTGCACAGGGGCAGTTGGAACATAGCTAAATGTTTGGGCGGCCCTAAAACAGCCCACAAGTTCCTGCAGTGGGAATTAACCTAATGACAGCGAACAGATGACACACGACATGACACTACAGTGCCTGTGCATGCATCAGAGATGTGTGTTCTCCCACCTGAGAGCTCTGAGAGGGGGGATGGCTGAGACTTTGCCCACAGGTTTGGGTCCCACTGCTGGAGGCATCATGACCAGCAGGCCCGTGGAGGGTTTGGAGGCCGGGGTCCGGGCCGGACTCACTGTGGGTGAGGCTCCTCTTGCTGGGCTGAGGGGGAGAGGCCTCTGAGGGGGGAAGGGTGACGATCTGGGCTGCAGCTCAGACACCAACTAAAAGATAGAAATTAGTGATATTTAGATCATGGAAGAGTCAAATGCAACAGGACGACTCACTAATGAGAGCAAGTATCCCCTGAGTAACCAGGAATTACGGTAACACTTTATAATAGCTATCCGTTATAACTAGTTAATAGATCATTTGTAAACTGTTAATTAGTGAGTTATTAACCACTTGTTAAGTATCAGTTAATAGTTTATATATGTTATTGGGACGTTATTCTAAAGTTGCAACTATTCCTCATT